TGTTGTTTGGCGGGTCTGGGCTGGGGATTCGAACCCGCCACCTTAGGTGTACGTGGCTGGCGCCTTAGCCGGTTGAGCTATAGGCGCCGAGCCAGAATCTTGTTTTTCAACAATCTGTGTTTTTATTTTAATTTTCTTATTTATTTATTTATTTATTTATTTTTTAAAGACAGAATCTTACTTTATCACCCTCGGTAGAGTGCCATGGCAGTGTCATACAGCTCACAGCAATCTCCAACTCTTCGGCTTAGGTGATTTTCTTGCCTCAGCCTCCTGAGTAGCTGGGGCTACAGGCACTTGCCACAACGCCCGGCTATTTTTTTGTTGCCCTTTGGCCGGGGCAGGTTTCGACCTGCCACCCTTGATATATGGGGCCGTCCTCCCTACTCACTGAGCCACAGGCACCGCCCTCTTTTTTATTTCTCAACCCTTTACTCAGAAATAATTTGACTTATAAAATGTTGCAAAAACATTTTATAGCTACTGTATACGTTTTCGCAGCTTTCATAACCAGGAAATTAACATAGGTAGAATGCTATTAACTAACGTATAGACCCTATTCACATTTTCCCAGTTGTCTGCTAGTATCCTTCCTCCAGTCTAGGATCCAATCCAGGATCCTGCATTCCCTTTAGTTGTTATAACTTAGTGTCCTCCAGTGTGGGACAGAGTTCTTCAGTCTTTGTCCTGGACCATGTTGGTCTTGAAGAATGCAGGTCAGTCATTTGTATTCTTTGTATCCTTAACTGCATTGGGCTTATGATTGTATTTAATGTTGAGATAAGAGGATTTTCCTTTGTGTTACAATGATAAACCATCCTTTCAAAAACTTTCCTATGCCATTGCTACTTATTGGAACATTTTTCAAAGAGAGGTTGATGTGCCAACGTGCCAGCATACTGTTGGTTGGCCTTTGTGAGAATCACCGCTTGTTCTGGCCAGAAAGACCTTTGAGGATCATCTGGTGGTTGACTGTCCTGGCTTCACAGACAGTAGCACCAGGGTCTACATTTTCATCTTTTGTCCTTTCTGTTTCATCATCCTTCATTTCAGAAACTTCATGATTCCTGCAAGACCAGTGAACAGCCATTCACATTATCTTTTAACTTAAATATGTTTGTCCTTGATCGCTGAAATTTTGATTCATTCATAGCTTATTTCACCTTGATTTAAAATCAACTTTGCTTATCTTCTGAGATAGGCAATTGCATGGAGCTCCTAAAGGTATTTGGCCTAGTCCATGGCGATTTCTTCCTGTAGCTAAATACCAGATCTCTTTTCAGCAGCTCTCTCTCTGCATGTATGTGTTTGAAAGTAGCTTGGGTAGCAGATTTCCTTAATGCTTATCAGACAGATCTGTTACTCTGCCAGACTTAATTTAGGTCTTCTTCACCTTCTTCACAGGACTCACCAGGCAGATCTGTCAGCTCACCTCCTTCCTTGAGCTCTCTTGGGTAACCTCTTTTGAAAGTTGGTAGACAGTGACTCTTGTGAATGTCATTGACTTTTGGGGGGTGAGGGGTAAAGTATTATAAAAGACAGTCATTGACTTCTGAGGTTTTTGAAAAGTTGATGTTTTAATAATTCCTTACTTGTAAGAGGAGGCTTTCTAAAAGCTTATGGAGTTTTTTTCTCAGCATATAAAAGAGGTAAGTGCACATTTTCATGAAGATCCTCCCACATAGGTATTGAATATTATTTCTGTAATTAGATAGTCTCTTTCTTGGCTTCTCTTCTGTAGTTACATGTGTGTTTTAATGCGTATTTTCTTTTTCCCCCCACATTGTGCAGTTTTTGAACTCTTACCTTTTAATACATTAAAAAAGAAATGAAATAAGGGAATATGACAGCCTAGGAGAATCTACATTTTACCCTTGTTAGACTGTTACATACATGTAATACAGACATCAGTGTTTGCACATAGATTTGTATCTTGGGGAAAGGGAAAGCAGTTACACATTCTGTGCAGAAAGTGGAAGTCATAGGGAGTTCAAAATGAAGTCAAATGTACCTTGAAAATCTCTGAATCACGCACAAGTTACCATGTCTATGGTGTTATGTGTGCTGTCTTGTGGGATCATTCTAATGCACGCTGCAGTTTGTGATCCACTGAGCCTGGTACGAGCAAAACAAGGGCTGTTGGCAGGTAGCTGAGGGTCTCTCTTGTGAAATGGGGACTGGAGAATCCCAGTGTGACCGAGCTTGTCTGCAGTCTTTATATTGTTATGTTTTTAACAAAAAGATTCTGTCTAAAGAATTGTTGATGGGCTTCGTCCCCGAGGGGAGGGCTGGATGAGCTCCTGCGTGTGTCAGCCTCTTTCTGGCACAGATGCTCAGTACATCTCTGCAGAGTTTCATTCTGATCTTGCTCGATCAATGGCAAGTCACAGGGCCTTTGAAGGGGCATCCAGAGAAACCTACCTACCTGCTTCCTGTCTTCCCGGTTTGGTGTTTCTGGCATTGATCTTCTCTGAGCTGCTTTCCTGCTTTTACTCCTGGCTTTTGAGTAAATTTTCATGAAATAAAATATGAATATTCAAATTACCACAAGATGGCATCAGATCATTTCAAGTAATGCCAGGTAGGGGGAGCCTCAGCTCAGTAACTCCTTTTCGATTTTTAAACAGTTAAGTTAGTGCCTTTCCTATCATGGTATTTAGCCGTTGCAAATAACCCCCCAATTTCTTTTGCCATTTTTATATGGAATCTTGAGGCTCATGTCTACTCAACTCTGTAATTACATAGGTATGAAATTTTGGAGTTTATAGGAATTTCACTGACAAGTGAAGGAATCAAAACTTGAGAATTTTTATCACTATGCCTTTTTTGGTGATTTCCTTTCCAGCCTCTTTTAGAATTTAGTTTAGTAATCTTCCTAGAACTTAGTGTGTTCATAATTTCCAGTCAGGATGTATTAATGGACTTACAGTGAATAAACTATAATAGTAGTAAAGGAGAAATCCCATTTTAAATTAGTGTACAAGTTACAATTTATACCCATATGCACAGTTCAGAGGACCTGTGTGCATCTCTGTGTCTCCCTTGCTTCAAGGCTACTGCGTAAGGGAAAGTCTCCTTTGCTGAGGTGCAGAGTATCTAGACCTGGTCTTCCGTACCAGGCATACGTCTCTGAAGGGCTGAACTTCAAGAAAGCAGTGAATATGTCTTTCTAGAAGGAAAATGAATAATTGAATGCGTAAATACATTTCAGAAAACTATGTTCTTCATTCATTTTCAAGATTGGGATTGGCAGAATGGAGGTGTAGATAATGGGATTTACCAACATGGAGTGGGGGCTGGGGTGGCTGGGTGTTGAAGCTGTGGAAGCCAGCTCTCTTCGTAGGTTGGCTCCTGAATGAAGAAAGGTATGTTTTCCAAATCATTCATTCATTAGTACCCACTGTGCACTAGACACTGCTGGTTGGTGGAGACACTGGGGTAACTGAAATGGACAGTATTGCTGCCCTAAGTTCTAATCTAATGTCTTTTTGGGTCAATGATACCTATAGGAATGTGTGAAATAATGGACCCCTTTCCCTGAAAATCAGGCAGTCTCTTTGTGTGTACATGCGCGTGTACACACCCACACACACACACACACACACACACGCATGCAGCTGCTGCAGGGTAGACCACACTCACAGAGTTTTGTATTCCATTTCTCAAGAGTTCAGAAGACTTAAAACTCAAGTTCTCCAGGTGAAGGCTCCCTCCTCTCCCGCCCTCAGGCTGTCTGCTGCTTTTGCCTTCGACTTAGAGCCTTGTGGTGTCCTAGATAAAACTTCTCTCTGATATTATTTTCAATTTCATCACACAATAAAGTGGTCAACCTTGGTAATTGTTCTTTATGTGTTTTTATTTAGTACCCCAACCCCATGGATAAAAATGTCATCTCTGTAAAAATCGTGGAGGAAAAAATAGGTAAGTCCTTTGATTATACCCTCGCTTCAGTGATGATCAATAAATGGCACTGATTTTTGTAAAGAGAGGTGTGTGTGTGACCAATTAGGTTTTAAGAAGCACCAGCATTTATAGTAGTAAAACTGACTCATAATCTCTTGTTACTTTCTAAATTAATTGATGACAACGGTGAGTTACATATAATTGTAACAGGTCACATTTTTGTATGCTTAACATTACATATGCCAGGTGCTTTATCAACCTCATTTAATCTTCATAAAACTGTATGGAATGAGTATTAGATTACTCCTATTTAATAAATCAAGAATTGGAGGTACAGAGAGGTTAAGTAACTTGCCCCAGGTCACTTGGCATGTTCCTATAACATGTATATTCGTATATCATTCTGTAGATGGCAAAATAGATGTGATTAATAGAATATGTGGGCTATGACCACAAAGAGATGAGTTTACGGGATTGTAACTATACTGGGCAATGTGGTTTTGCACTGGTGAGAGCAGGGGTGACTAAGTATGGCTCCTACTGCATGTTTTAGTAAATACGTTTTACTAAGTAGCCGTACCCGTTTGTTTACCTATGGCTGCTTCCTCATTTCAAAGGCAGATTGAGTAGTTGCAGCAGAGACTTTGTAACTCATAAAACCTAAGCTATTTGCCATCTAATCCTTTACTGAAAACACTTACTGACTTGTGGGCTGGAGCATGGGTTCTCTATTATTCTTCATCATTCCTCATCTCCAGTGGAAGCGTTGCCTGTGTTTGAACCCGAGACCTGGGCAATGCAGGAAATGATGAGTCTGTCTGTAATCAATGTACAAACCTTTGGAGACACTCAGGCCAGGTCCAACATTCTGTTCAGCCTGCTTAGAAATCATGAGATGCTACTGTTCATTGTGTGACCCTGAAGCCCTCTCTGTGTTTGGTAAACGTAAAACCCTGTTTGGCTTGTGCGTGTATTTTCTGTACTCTATAAATATATTTAAAAAATATATTTTCTCTTGTACCTGGGCCAAGTTTGGAGGAAATCTGTTATTTGGGATCATACAAATTTGATTTCAAGTTCTGATTTTTGTTATTGCCTCATGACTTAACTTTTTGGAAGCTCAGTTTTGCCACCTGTCAAATAGGAAAATAATCTTGTTTGTAGGTTGTTGAGAAGATCAAATGAGAGCACCATGAGTATTCTGAATGGGAATGTTAATTGTAGGTATTATTATTGTCAGGGGCATCTCTGCTTCTGGGAGTGGCTAATCCATTTGAAGTGTGTGTGCTACAGACAGTGGATGTGAAGGCAAAGGAAGTGTCAGTGGGCAGAGCATCTTGTGCCCCCATCAACAGCTTCTGGGCAGTCTGGGTGCTGGGCAATCCGGGTGTTTGCACCAGAGGTCAGGACTACTATCGCAGGAGCTCTGAGAAACGCCGTAGCAGTGTGGTTGAGTCATAGTAATTCATAGAGCAGGTGGCACATGTCACAAAGTTTATCCTTTTCTCTGCCTTGGTCTCCTTTTCTCTTAATCCACATTTATTGTTTTCTATATTTCTGGTTCAGTTCTGGAAACATTGCCCCCAAACAGAATGGTTCCAGTCACAGGAGGTTGATTTTTTTATGAGAGAAGAATATGGCTAACATAATTAATCATAAGATTTAGATTTTATAGCCAGAAATCTGGGCTTAAAAGTTTAAGATTAAAGAATCAGGCAGAATCAGGTTCTCCCTCTTTTTGTCTTTTGTTAGGGCGGTGCCTGTGGCTCAAATGAGTAGGGTGCTGGCCCCACGTGCCGGAGGTGGCAGGTTCAAACCCAGCCCCAGCCAAAAACTGCTTAAAACAAACAAACAAAACTCTTTTGTTAAAACTGTCTTTTTTTGGAGTTGAGCTGGACACACATTAGTCACTATTATTAGAGCGCTGACATTGATAGTCCAGAGTGATGAACAATTTGTTATTCTTTTATCCTTGATTTTAGAATGTGTGTTGCGAGTTGCTGTTTTATTCTTATTCCTTAATCACAGATAAGGACTATCTGTGATTCGGCCCCGAAAGTGGACAGTGAAACTAAGTTTTGAGTTAAACTTTTTCTTTCGGAGTTCTACATATGGAAGGTTGAGGTGGACTTAAAAAGTTTTGTTGATGTTAAGAATACATTTCCTGAAATTATGTTCAGTGTACATTTTTTATTTTTTAGATGCGTCAACAGGGGTCATCTATAGAAAGAGGATTGCAGTCTGTCGGAATGTGGTTCCAGAAATTTTAAGGAAGGTAAATTCACTTTAAAATATAATTAGAGTTAGCAAACATTGAGTCGTTTTGAATAGTTATGGAAAGAGACAGCATTTTCTGATAGAAAGGAGCAATGGAACTTTCCTGCTTCTCTCACCTCAGCCCTGAGGAGGAAGACGGCTCTTTCCCAGCCCCCTAAGTCTTGGCCGATGCCACCAGAGATACTTTTTCTTCTGTCTCTGTCTTTTATGAAGGGTTCTTAGTGGACACAGAGATGTTGTAATTTTTCAAAGGATACTTTTGGCATTTCACATCAAGTGACTCTCTTTTCTAATCTGTCCATGATTAGAAATGACTTTTAGGTAAGAATGATCAGAAGTGGGTGGATTGTTACCAACTATTTTGTCTGATCTTTAGTAAGGAGGATAAATGCTTCAGTTTCTCATTCACCATCAGAGGTGACGGTTATTTCTGGGAGTATGACGTACTCAGTACTCTCTGTAAGAGAGTATTTTGTGTGTGTGTTTATACAGTAATATCGTTGATGATGAAATCTTTATGATAGCAAATTGTTTTCTCTCTTTGATACCCTTAAGCACACTGGTGTTTCTTTGTTGGAAAAAGGTGAGTGGAAATTTTTAATCACATTGCTAGAACCATAAAGAGATTTTCAATGTGAGTTCTTTCAGAATTTATTAGGAAGTAAGAAGAAAGCATCTTGAAATGTACTTTTAAAAATGTCTCAGATGGCTGTTTCAACCTGGAAGAGATCGGGGTGTGATGTGGATGGAACCCAGCTTGGCTCCTGCCAGTTAGTTTGCAAATTAAATTGCTTTGCTGTTTGTAGAACAATTGGCAGCTTCCATCACGTCCTTATCATGGATTAAAAGACTGTCACGATCTTTAGTGTAATAAAGCTGATATGACAATACAAATGAACTTTATTTTCCACCTGGTAAAACGTGTTGCACTGTAGCAGCAAATTCTTAGCTGTGTTTTTCCGCAGAGTGTGTACCCTGCCTTGCCCTATATACACACTTTGAATCTATTATTTAAAAAGGCATTCAAGTTTGTCTTGTATCTCAATTCTTAAATAATTTAAGGATACCTCTGACTTGTACAATTCTGCCTTTGTAGTTTTCCATGTCTTCGCCACATGGGAAACTGTATATTTCTAGGTGTATTGGACAGCGTTTTAAATGAAGAATATATTTTACCTGATACTGGCCTGCATACGAGTCCATAAGTGGGCCCAATTAAAATCCATCAATTTAAGAAGGCCATAAGCAGCCCTAGAGGAGACACAGAGCAGGCTGGTAATTTGCTTAGTGTTTAGCAGTTAGGGAAATCAGGCCAGGGACCGTACAACCTACATAAATCCTGGGCCATTTGCATGTCCTCACCAGTACTTAGTAAGGTCATCGTATGTTTGATTATCCAAAACTTAACAGCTATTGGTGAGCCATCATAGGTTTATCAGGATCACTTGTCCTCTTAATTCTGAGACAGCCATCCTCCCTCTGTTGGACAGATAAGCATTTTAAAAGTACCCAATATCCAGTTAGAAGAGGAATCATGGCTCAATCCTCAGGAGAGAAACATGGCTATACGGACTCACTGCCTCACGTGGACACAGCATGCCTCCATGAAGGAAGAGTCTGTCTTCCAGGAAAGTGTGGAAAATCCAAATTGGTAAGATCACCTCTGTGTGTGTGTGTGTTAGGTGCAGGGATGGACCTATGGATGCATGTATCAATAAGCTATGATTCCAGGCCAGGTGTGGTGACTCACGCCTGTCATCCTAGTACTCTGGGAGGCCGAGGTGGGTGGATTGCCTGAGCTCAGGAGTTTGAGACCAGTCCAAGCAAGAGCAAGACCCCGTCTCTAAAAATAAAAAAATAGCGAGGCATTTTGGTGGGTGCCTGTAGTCCCATCTACTTGAGTCTGCTGTGAGCTGTGACAGCACAGCACTCTACCAAAGATGGCAAAGTGAGACTCTGTCTCCAAGAAAGAAAAAAGCTATGATTCTATACTTAAAATCTCTGTTTAAAACTTATACAAATTCCATGTTTGTAAATCTCTGTTTAAAACTTACACAAATTCCACATTTGTATATGTTCCATACATGGAATTAAGGAACATATTTTTCTTTGGGGGGAAAATGACAAAGCTCAGCTCCTCTCTGACTTCTCTGCGATTCTGTGTCATTTACTATCCCTAGAGGGCATGAATGTTACCATTTTGCTGAATAGTCTTCCATACCTTTAACAGATACCTTGAGATACTTACAAATGTACTCCTAGGCCTGCTGTTGTATGATTTTGTATGTTTTTTACAGACATGATTTCATGCTGTGTAAATTATTTTGCATTTCTCCTTTTTTACTTAATAGAATGTTTCTTAGCTTTAAACATTTCATATGTACAAATCTAGCTTATTCCTTTGAACTATTGCATATAATTCAATCTTGTGGCTATATGATACTTTATTTTGCTACTTCCTTTTCAGTAGACATTCAGATGGTATCTAGTTATCTTTATTACAAGCAATATTACCGTACTTATGAAGGATGTGTTCTTATATATGACCTGTTATGCTATATGTGTTTCTCAAGTAGAGTTTTAAGTGTCAGGTACATTAATAATATACAATAAAATTTACTCTTCTTAGTGTACAGTTCTTTGAGTTTTGACAAGCATCATACCATGTGTCACTACTGTGACAAGCTATAGAACATTTTATGTAGATTTTAAAAGGTTATTATATATTACAAGACAGTTGATTGGGGAAAGAATGTTAATTTCAACATAGGGTGCTGGGACAACTGGATATCTACATATAAAAAGTGACATTGGATTCAAAATACACATACAAAATTAACTCAAAATGGATCAAAGAGCTAAATGAAAGAGTTAAGACTGTAAGACACTTAGATGAAAATATAGGTATGAATCTTTGTAATCTTGGATAGACAATAGTTTCTTAGACAGGACACCAAAAGCCCAAGCAGTGGAAGAAAAAATAAAGTTGACTTCATCAAAATTAGAAACTTTTCTGCCTCAAAAACACTGTCAAGAAGGTGGAAAAACAATGCAGAGAATGAGAGAAAATATTTGCAAATCATCTATCTGATACAGGTCTAATATCCAGACTATATAGAGGACTATTATAATTCAACAATAAAAAGACAGCCCATTTAAAAAATGGACAAAATATTTGATCCTCTGAAGAAGATATACAAGTTGCCAGCAGTACATGAACAGCTGTTCAATACCAGCAGTCATTAGGGAAATGCAAATCAAATCATAATGGGATGCCACTTCACACCACTGGGGTGGCTCTAATAAAAAAGACACAGTAGCAAGTGCTAGTGTAGCTAGGGATAAATACATTCCTGGCGGGAAGGAAGATGGTGCAACTGCTGTGAGAAGCAGTTCCTAGTTCCTCAAAAAGTTAAGAGTTACCATTTGATCCAGCAATTCCACTTCTAGACACACCCAAGAGAAAGGAAAAAATATGTCCATACAAAAACTTGTACAAAAATGTTCATAGTAGCAACGTCATAGCCAGAATGTGGAAATAAGCCAGTGTCTGTGAACTGATGGAATGTGTAACCAAACACAGTGTATCCCTAAAATGGAGTATTATTCAGCTGTGAAGGGAATGGACTGCTGATTCATGCTACGACATAGACAGACCTTAAAATCTCATGCTAAAAGCAGCATTGCCACAGGCCACATGTTATATGGGCCCATTTATTTGAAGTGTCCAGAAGGGGCAAATTCAGAGACAGACTATGGGGAGAGGAAAGTGGAGAGTGACTGGTGATGGATATGGAGTTTCTTTTTTGAGATGATGGATATGTTCTGGAATTAACGTTGACAGCTGTGCAACTTGGATTATATTAAATTGCACTGAACTGTATACTTTAAAACGGTGGAATTTTATGGTATGTGAATTATATTTCAATAAAAACGGTCTTGTGACTAGTTCTTAGAACCTGCATATTTTTAGCATATGTTGTTGTGTCTTAGTTTGGGCTGCTATAACCAGAAAACCACAGACTGGGTGGCTTAAACCAACAAACATTTATTTCTTAGAATTTTGGAGGCTGGGAAATCTGAGATCTAGGCACTGGCATTTTCAGTGTGTGGTGAAGGCTCTTCTCCTGGTTTGCAGGTAGCTGTGTTTCACTGTGTCTTCATATGATAGAGGGAGCTCTGGTCTCCATCTCTTTTTAAAGGGCACTAATCCCATCATGCAGGCTCTACTCTCATGACCTCATTTAAACCTAATTGCCTCCCAAAGGCCCCCTCTCCTAACACTATCCCAGTGTGGGTTAAGGTTTCCACATCTGTATTCCAGGGGGAGATAGACAAGCAGACCAGAACATGCCTGTCACATTGCCTTCCAGTATGTTAAATACAATAATTTGCACTCTCTTTAACAGTACATGAGAGTGTTCATTTCCTTACAACACTGTCGGCACTTAATATTAACATGCTTTTTAATTTTTGCCACTATAATGTGTCAGAAATCATTAATTCCTTTGAGATGGGTTTAAAAACAAAAGCAAAATATCACAAACACTACATGTTAACAGTGATTCTTGCTGTGAACTGTGATTTCAGAAGATAATTTCTGTTTTTTGTTATTCTGTAGGGTCTGAATTTTTTGTTATCAATTGTTATTATTATTGAGACAGAGTCTCACTTTATCACCTGGGCTAGAGTGCAGTGGTGTCATTGTAGTTCACAGCAATTTCAAACTCCTGTGCTGAAGTGATCCTCCTTCGTCAGCCTCCCAATTAGTTGGGACTATAAGTGTGTGCCACAGGCTGCCCTAATTTTTCGATTTTTTTTTAATGGAAGTGGGATCTTGCTCTTGCTCAGGCTGTTCTTAAACACCTGACTTTAAGTGAAGCTCCCCCCTTGGCCTCCCAGAGTGCTGGGATTACAGGTGTGAGCCACTGTGCTTCACCATGCACTTATTATTTTAATGGAAATAGTAAAGCCCTCAAGCCCAAATAGCTATAAACCAAAAATCTGATATTCATTCTTAAGCCCTAACACTTGTGTGGATCATTACTGCTGCCCGTAACTCTGGTCCTACCGAGATAATTCTGGGATGGCGCAGCAGTGCCAGCAGCACGCTGTGAGTGTGAATGTCAAGCCTTATTAGCATCGGAGGTGGGCTTTTTCTGAACTACCCACTTGTTTTTATGTCTTAGCCTCTTGCATGTCAAGAGCTTCACATAGATATAGATGTTTGGGATTAAGTTTAAAGGCTGTGACCAGAGAATAGAGCTCTTTTCTTTGTAAGCAAAAGTAGTAGTAAAAGGATGGATTCATCTGATTTTATGCTCATAAAAGGTCATTTCATCTACTTCATTTTAGCCTTATTTTTTCATATACATGTTTTGCAGCTGTTGGCTAGTCTTAAAAGATGCACTAAAGTAGGGGTAGGGAACCTTTTTATGTTGGAAGACTGAATTAATTTGTACTCAAGGCTGCATTTTAGAAACTTTAATTAGATATACTTAGGAATGTACATCAGTTTGTAAAAATCTAACTACTATGTACTTAATTTCAAAAAGTGAAAGCATTTGTTAATTTTATAGTTAACAAACCTTATCTGGGCACAGTGGCTCACACCTGTCATCTTAACACTCCAGGAGGTCCAGGTGGTGGGTTGCTTGAGCTTACAGGTTTGAGACTAGCCTGAGCCAAAGCCAGAGCCAGACCTTGTTTCTAAAAATAGCCAGGCATTGTGGTGGGTGCCTGTAGTCCCAGCTACTTGGGAGGCTGAGGCAAGAGAATCACTTGAACCCAAGAGTTTGAGGTTGCTGTGAGCTATGATGCCATAGCATTCTATCAAGGGGATAAACTGAGACTCTGTCTCAAAAAAAAAAAAGTTAATAAACATTTTAATGACTTTGTTCTTTCTGCTTTTTGTTGGAAAGCATTTAACAGTTTGGTTATAGCAGAGAAGTTTACGGTTTCAGTTGATTCTCTATGGGTATCAGTCATTTGTAGGAGAATGGAGAATGCAGATTTTCAGCCATAAGCTAATTTGAGTGTGATATCCTTTCATTGTATTCTCCAATTAACAGGTCTGTGTGTTCTTCAGATGATTCACATATATCATCCTGCTCATCAGGGACCTTTGCTAACTGGGCAAAATGTTCACCTGGAATTTTGTCTTGAAGTGTTTTGAAAAATGACAGCTTTTTTCTAAATGCTTGGATTTTTTTGCCATATATCATATATAGACTTAGTTTTGTCTTGTAAAGAAATATTCAAATTGTTCTAATTTGATATATTATAGAGAAATGCTATCGATATGCCTATAAAAATCTTTTAGTGATTCACATTGCTGATTCTATTTTTCATAAAATTTAACTGTCTGTTCTTGCAAAGATACAGTTTTGGCTAACACTTGTCTCTGTAATAGCCAACACATTTAGAATGATACGGTGATTGCACGTTGCTTACCTCATTGTTCCACTTATGCATGTTAGGAAACTGAGGTTGCCGTTTTTCTTTTGTGTGAATGTAATTATTAATACTTAGAACTTGTAAAGTGCCGCTGAAATCTCTGTGCTTTAACACAGATTTTGCTGATGCAGGATACAATGAAAACATGACAGCATCTGGATCTTTAATACAATAGAACCTCTATAGTTGATCCCC